TGTAACCCTGTGGAAGAAGATCCATAGTAAGCAAGTGTCCCCTTGCAAGCCTATGGAAGAAAAACCCTTCAGGACCTGAGTAATCTCCAGCCTTCAGTCTTAGCCCAGGAGGGGGGTAAGCCCAGCCCTGGAAGCTAACACAGAACGAGAGGGAGAGAGAAGAAATTCCAACTGCAATGAAAGTGTGCTGCTGCTGAGAATCTGCTAGTAGAAGGAGAAAACTGAAACTCCAAAGATACAGAATGAGACTACTTCTTCTCCTTGGACTAGTATAAAAAGGGAAGAAGTATTTCTGTGTATATATAGCATCTCAACTTGAGTAAAAATTGTTATAGATATAGTTCTTTATTGCTGTAAATATAGTTCTTTAGTTTTTAACTTATTAGTAGTTTTTATTTTACTAGTAATAAATGTTTATACTGTTCCCCCGAGTCCTGTCTCTCTTTTGTCTGCAAATACCTTCTCTCAACTAGTAGTAATTGTGTGGGGGGTGGAAGGCAAAATTGACCCAAAGCAAAACCACGACAGTACATGAAGTTTAATCAGAGTTTGATTAGAAGCCAGAATGGAGAAAGGAGTGACTCAAGTCTCCCACGTGACTAATATCTCTCTTATTTTGTTTCAGTCTCTTAGAGGAGACCAATTAGCATATGTGCAATTGGAAAATCACTGGTCTATATTATATAGAGGGAACAGCAGGAACGGTGAGCACTCACTGCAATTCCCAGACTTGACTAATACTTTAAAAAACAGACTGGCATCTAAGTTTACATGTACATGATATACCTCAGAGTCCCTTTTCTGATTACTGGGGGAGATTACATTGAAAAAGCCCCAAGGAGGAATAAAGTGGTGCAGTGCTGCACCAAAGAAGGTTATGTCCATCCTTTCTTTTCATACACTGATGGCTTTGTTAAACTCACCGTAAACACCCTCTCTGGCTCGCCTTTGGCCCTCATGTTGGTGTCATGAACTTGCTTGAGGATCATCCAGGCTTCATCATGTTTACCAATCTGAAAACAGCAAAGAAAAGGAAAACAAATGTTGGAGATACCAGCTCTTTAGCATATCAAAGCACAGAGAGAAACCAATTCTAGAGGTCCAGCACAGTGGAGAGGCACACAGACAGCACTGGCTGCATTAAATGTGAAGTGCTGAAAGCAGGGCTGGTATTCACAAAGTGCAGCATCTCTGTGCTGGAGAAAGGAGTTGTCCTAAAACTGCCTGAGGCAGAAAAGGGATCAGAAATAGAGCTTTAAAACCAGATGAAAGAGGAGATGGATGAGGAGACTTGGACTCTTACCCCAACTCTGCTAAAGGCTTGCAGGGTTAAGTTGAACTAGATATTGCTACATTTCACATCTGTGAATTTGGAATACAGAATAACTTGCTTAAGATTTCTGAGGTTTATGTATTTTACTCAGAAAAATGTGCTCCTTCCTTTGCTCTTCCACCAGGTTTCTGTAGTTCCATGCCCAAATTCTGTGAGATGTTTTCAAAGTGCCTTTGTTGGACTTATAAAATTCCCGGTCCTCGCCACCTTCTTTCTGAACTCCATCCATCAGTGATACACTAACCATCAGTGATTGACCCCATAGTCTATAATCTTCGGGGTTTAAGCAGTCTGTGGAGCTAGTGCAGACATGCAGGAGTGGCTCTGCCTCTGAGCTTGTGCTCTGTGTGTTTGATGGGACAAAGGAAGACAGACAGTGACACATTAGGGACCTACTGTCCTCTGCTGATATCCGACTGCAACATTCAGATGAATCATCTTACCTCCAGCAAAAAACGTGGGCTTTCAGGCATGAATTTCAGTGCCACCAGGGAGGCGATACAGGGCAGAGAGCACACGAGTACAAAGACTCTCCAGCTGTGGAAGTGGTACTTGGTTCCCATACTGAACCCCCAGCCTGGAAACAGCAAGAGCCAACAAGTAAAAATACTGACCAGGCATTCTGAGTTTTTCTCTCATAAAGCAGCTCTGAACTTTACAGCTCTGTATGACAGGAGGACAGGTTGAAAGTTTTCTATTCTTAGTGCTGGTGGCTCTTGGAGGGTCAATAACATGCTCAGTAGATAGCAGTGAGTTCATGTTCATTACAAAAATTGCAACATACTTGCTCAGGCTCTGCCCTTTAAAAACCTTCTTTTATCTTTGAGCTTAGAAATCACCTACTGATAAGAAAAAGCTCCGTGCAGCTGTAGGCAAGTAAGTGTGGCAAATGATACAGGAATCAGGGCCATAATTTACTGCTGCTCAGTGATGTTACCAAAAGATGTTACCATAGGTTAAATGCCTGATCTGAGAGGCACATTAGATCCGGTTCCTTTCCATCTCCTGCATCCCATTATGTATTAAACATTTCATGGAAATGAGCTAGGAAAGCAAGTTTATTTTTTTCCAGACCTACAAAACTTGAGATGAGATTCAGATTTAGAAGAATCCAAATCCTAATCCTGCCTTGGAGATTCCTCCTCTCCTGCTTTTTTCCTGGTGTCTGACCAGGCTGGGTATCCCCTTGCTAAGGATTGGAAAGTACAGGGTCATTCTTACATTACTTTCCCTAGGATCAAATCTCAGAAGTAATGTTTAATTCATTTATTTTTTTTCTATAAACATTCTTAGTCACATAATAAGAAAATCATCAAGCAATGGTTTTTGCAGAGGTCTTATCTGAGCCAGTCATGGCATTCTAATAATCTTACAAAGTTCCAAAATAGTAGGTGGAACATTGGAAATAAAAAAAAGAGAAGCTGTAAAAACATAACATCAAAAAGTCACCTGAAAAATTATTGGAATGTAAATACATAAGGGCTTTTTAAAGCAAATGTATTTGCAGATAATAGAATTATTTCTACCTGACACCTCTGCAATAAGTTTGCCTATTTGTTCCAACAGACTCTGTCATATCAATCAAAAGCATGAATATTTCTTTATACTGAAGGTGCTTTAAGCATGCTAAAAATGAGTTGATAGATACGTAAATGTTAGTGGTTTTCTTCATGGTTTTTGCAGACTGTCCTACTTTCCTCAAATAGGATTTTGCAAACAGCTGGTGTCACTGAATACGGAGGAAATTAATCTTTTCCAGTAGATATCTGTTTCTGATGTTTTCCTAGGTTATTTACGAGTTACAAGGAATTCCATGTGACATGCAGACTTTTTTTGC